TTGATCCCATGGGCACTACCTGATGCAAGTGTATGCTCTTGCTCTGATCAGTCACTGGCCAAGGACATCCCAGGAAGACGTCAATTCCCAGTGGCTCTCAGTTCTCTGCTCTTGGTGGCAAAGAGGCTCTGGTAGCCCCAAGGCCGTCAGCTCAAAAGGAGCTGCAGGGCAGGCTGATGGGGGCTAACATACCCCGTCACAGGAGCCCTACGAGGGACACAGGCATGTACAAGACCTAAAGGGGGCTGCTCCTGGGGAATGGTTTCCAGTTCTTTCTTTATACAAATTCTATTTGGGTTGCTGTTTTTTCAAATTGGGGTACTTTTGTGGGGAATGAAGGAAGGGAGGGAGGGAAGGAAGGAAACTATCTACAACCAGCACAGGTGTCTTGTTGGTTCTAGGTGCTAGGAAGAGCCTAGGCCCAGAATCTTCTATGCCAGCTTTATCTGGCTATAGCTTTTTATCCCAACGGTTGCAACATCTAGAGATATATTGGGTGGAATAGAAATGGTGACAGCCGAAGGACCAGGCTCAAATTCAGCACACCATTTGAGGTTTGCAGGGCTCCCTCTGCAAGGATTCTAGCACTGTGGCCTGGCCCCATGGAGTGCCCTACCAGACGGAGGGGTGTCTGAGCCTCAGGGAAGGGACCCATAGATCCCCAGGTTTGAGCTTGGAGCTGGGGCCCACATTGCCAGTTTTCTAACCTTCCCGTTCAAGTGTGGCTGGCTCTGTATTCTAGCTGGTGCTGCTCTTCAGGGCCCTGTGGTGTCTTGCCCTGGCCCACATTTTTGAGCTGGAGTCTCATTCCATTGCCCAGGCTGGAGGGCAGTGGCACCCTCACGGCCACCCTGGCATCGACTTGCTGGGCTCAGGCGATCCTTTCACCTCAGCCTTCCAAGTAGCTGGAACCATAGGTGTGCACTACCATGCCTGGCTAATTTTTATTTATTTATTTATTGTAGAGATGAGGTCTCGCCAAGTTGCCCAGGTTGTTCTCAAACCTGTGGCCTCAGGTAATCCTCTCACCTTGGCCTCCCAAAGCACTGGGATTACAGGCTTGAGCCACCGCACCCTGCTGGCCCACATTTCCATTGGGATTCTGGTCTTCTTAATTTGTGAGTTTTAAATAGTAATCCTTTGTCTTTTTTTTTTTGAGTAGGAGTCTCAATCTGTTGCCCAGGCTGAAGTGCAGTGGCACACTCCCAGCCACCGCAGCCTCAACCTGCTGGGGCACATGTGATCCTTCCACCTCAGTCTTCTAAGTAGCTGGAACCATAGGCACGTGCCACCACGCCTGGCTAATTTTTTGATTTACTGTAAGATGAGGTCTCGCCAAGTTGCCCAGGCTGGTCGCAAACTCCTGGACTCAGACAATCCTCTTGCTTCCGCCTCCCAAAGTAGAGGGATTACAGGCGTGAGCCACCGTGCCTTTGCCAGTTTTAAACATGCCAACATCTTGCCTTAATCTGTTTTAATCTGCTATCTGCTGCCATTATTATTTTTGTTCTACAGAAATATTTCACTTTTATTTGAGTCAGGGTCTCATTCTGTTACCCAGGCTGGAATGCAGTGGCACGATTATAACTCACCGCACCCTTGACCTCCTGGGCTCAGATGAGCCTTCTACCTCAGCCTCCAGAGTAGCTGAGACTACAGGTGTGCACCACCACACCTGGCTAATTTTTGTATTTTTTGTAGAGATGAGGTCTCCCTATGTTGCTCAGGCTGGTCTTAAACTCCTGGGCTCAAGAAAATTTTACTTTTATGTAAATAAACGTATCAAAATTTGTCTTATGGTTGTGCTCTGGGGGTTTGAGAAGCTCTTCTTGACTCTCCTAGCTCACAAATGTATTTTCCCGTATCATTTTTATTACTTTTCTATTCTGCCATTGTCACACACAGATGGTGAATCCTCTGGAGTCCCCCCTGCAGAAAGTGTCAGGGAGTGGCAGTGTCAGCTTTGCCAGAGTGCACCTCACCAATAACTTCTAAGAGATTACCCACCCTGCTCCTGCCCTGCTGGCCACCCTTCCCAGCCCCTTGAGGCCTGTAGTGGTGCTATCTAACTCAGGCCTCTGCATTGTCTTTTCTGTGAGTTTGTGGCAGTCAAAATCTGGTGAGAAAGTGCCTCTCCTGGCTTTTTCAAAATAGATTGAACCATACAGACTTATCTTTTTTCACATAAAATTTAAAATTTAATGAGTGTCTCAAAATATCAAATGGCTCATTGGGTATGGTGGCTCACACCTATAATCCCAGTACCTTGGGAGATGGAGGCAAGAGGACTGCCTGAGTCCACGGGTTCAAGACTAGTCCAGGCAACTTGCGAGACCTTGTCTCTACTATAAACCAAAAAATTAGCCAGGCATGGTGGTGCATGCCTGTAGTCCCAGCTACTTGGAAGGCTGAGGCAGAAGGATCATCTGAGCTCAGCAGGTCAAGGCTGTGGTAGCCGTTGAGTATGCCACTGCACTCCAGCCTGGGTGACAGAGTGACACTCGGACTCAAAAAAAAAAAAAAAAAATCAAATGGCATTTTGATCAGAACTGTGCAACTGTGCTGCATTCAGCATACAGCACACTTTTTCCTTTGTTTTAGAAAATGTCTGTTACAGAACAGGTGGCTGGGTTTTAATGTTTAGCTTGTTTTGAGGTCTCAGCCTCTCTACCTTGAGGTTATTTTCCTGCATGCCCCTGTGAAGACCTACGCATGTGGCCTGACCCCTTCGGGTTCTTTTGTGCTGTCAATGGTGCCTACTTGTTCCCTCCTCCTTGTCCTCTTTGCTTGAAGGGAAGGTTTCTGGTTTTTCTCCTATTTGTGAGTTAGATGTTTCAAAACTTTTAGTTCTATTAGGGGTTACTTGAAACTTACATTGTCCCATAAATCTTATTGATAAGCGATTGCTCCCTTTCTCCTGTACCAAGATGAAAACTTGTCTACTCTCCTTGCTGCTGTTTTACCTCATAGATAAACAATATCTGTATGCTTCAGATTACTGATTGTTTTTGGGGGCACATTTTGTATTTTGCTGAGAATTCTGTCTTAGCACTTGTAAAAAGCTTACAACCATTTTAAGTGTATATGTGTATATATATATATATATTTTTTTTTTTTTTTGAGATAGGGGTCCTACTCTGTCACCCAGCCTGGAGCACAGTGGCGTGATCACAGCTCACTGTAGCCTCAAACTCCTGGGCTCAAGTGGTCCTCCTGCCTCAGCCTTCCAAAATGCTGGGATTAGAGGCATGGGCCACTGCATCCAGCCTAAGTACATTCTTTTAAATCAAGTTTTGCTGGTTTTAGTGCTTGCCACTGCTCCTAAATCATATTTTTCCCTTTCTTCATTTTTAAATTTGGATTCTTTGTTTTGTTTGTTTGTTTAGGTGGAGGACTCCTCTGAGTGATTTTTTTTTTTCAGCACAGGCACTGAAATCCTGTGTTTTGTTGCCAGACCTGAATGGTGTTTGGCTGAGGCTGGAATTCCAGGGTCATAATCTGGGGCCACATCCTGACCAGTTTTTCCTTAAGCATTTGCTTTTCAACAGGTAGACATTTCATAGATTCAGGTCACACAATTTATTATGACACAGAGTGGAACCAGAATGGGATATGACTTTAAACATCATGGTCAACCACCATGATGCCTATAACTCTCCTGGCAGTTGGTATCAAGAGTCAGCTTGGGGATCTCTGAATGTTCCCAGCTCCCACAGGGTCTGTCTCCATGAGGTTTAGCAGAATCGGGAGTGACTTGTCCAGCAGAACTTTCTGGGATGATGAAGTGGGCTGCCTCCAGCAGAATGTGGCTTCTGAACACTTGGAGCATGGCAAGCACACCAAAGGCACTGAAATCACTGAACTTTTAATCTCCCTGCCAGTGTCTCACTCTGTTTCCCAGACTGGAGTGCAGGGCCACCATCATGGCTCGCTGCAGCCTTGAACTCCTGGGCTCAAGCAGTTCTCCCTCCTCAGCCACCCAAGTAGCTGGGACTACAGGTCTGTACCACCAGGTCTGGCTAATTTTTTGTAGAGATGAGGTCTCGCTCTGTTGCCCAGGCTGGTCTCTAACTCCTGGATTCAAGCAATCCTCCTGCCTCAGTCTCCCAAAGTGCTGAGATTACAGGTGTGCACCATCACGCATGGCCTAGGCACTGAGTTCTTAATTTTTTAAAATTTTAATACACTTAAATTTGACCTGCAATAGTCACGTGGTAGCCAGCGATTCCCATACTGGACAGTGTAGCTCTAGAATCCTAGAAGAGGAAGGGATCCTGGTGACTGTATAATGCAGTTGCTCTCCTGTTCTGCGCAAGGGGAAATCTGAGACCCTGAGGGGGACAATGACTTATAGCATTAAATTCGGACCTCAGGGGTCTGTCAACGTAAATCTTATGTTTAAAAAGGTCAACAACAATGGGGTAAGAATGGGAGGCCACCATACAAGAGGTTAAGAGTCCAGATTGCTAGAGAACGTCTTTGAAGGAAGCCTTACTGGGCTCATGTTCCGGCAGCAGCACAACACAGTGTGGGGGACAGGATGCTCCTCCTCACCCTGCACTCTCACCCACAAGCAAGGGCTGTAGTGAGAAATGACAGACACATGTGAAAGCAGGCAATCCAATGCCTGGTGCATGGCCATTGTGCTTTAAGATGAGCACTGAGGATCATAGCACATAGGGCTAAGTTATTTTTTATTCAACTTTTTTTTTAACTTATATAAATTTTTTCAAAATTGGCATTGACTGGTTTAAGATGAAAAAGTCTTGGCTGTCACAGATCATGACTGCTGCGACCCTGCAAATGAGGACCAGGGCCTCCTGGGATGGCCCCGAATGACCACCTGAATGCCCATAAAGCACTCTCAGACCCCCTGCTTCACGTGACTCAAGTAGGGCTGGGACTTTTCTCTGGAGAAGGACACAGACACAAATAGCAAATGAATTAGACATATCCAATTTTTGCTCCATGGCTACAATAACCATCAACAATCAACCAGGAAGACTGTGGCAAGATTTAATAGTCATGGCATCTCAAATGGTGAGTGGCATCATACAAGTTAGCTATCATCAGTGCCTTTTATTGCCATTGGGTTTCTGACTGTTGATATAGTGACGACTTCAGAAGCAACGGGTAGATTAAAAAACCGTGGCTGGGCAGTTCTTTTGAGGAGAGGGACCAGGTGAGAGCAAGGAGTACTCAGAACCTGACGAATGTGGCGTCGATCTGCCGCACGGATGGGAGGGCGAGCATGACCTTTCGCCTGTATTGGGGGTCCTTCTGTAGGGGATTCCGCTCCAGGTACACTGTCTCCAGGTTCCTGGCTCCCTTCAGCTCATCGAGGTCGCTCCAGCTCTCAAGGAGATTGTCATTCATCTGGGAGAACACACACACACACACACACATGAGAAAAGCCTTTAGAACTGATAGCCCGACTGTCACCCTCTATGACCCTCAAGCCCGGGAGGGGATCATGAGGCACCCTCCTCCTTCCCACTTAGAAGATAGCGAGACCTGATTCTGAGTCTCTTGCAGCACCTCTTGGTCATCCTGGTTACCTTCGGTGGCATCCTATGTGGAAGCTGGGCCATGTCACCATGATGGGGGCAAATCCAAATTCAGATCAGCAGAGAAAATATGAAGCAGCAGTGACCACTTGCCACAGGCAAGTGTCAAAGCTGCATTTCCTACAAATCAGTCAACTCTCAATCATGTTCCCAAGGCTGGGACCCTGCGCTCTGACTGTGATGCAGTCAGCAAATAAGAGGCTGCCCTGTCAAAAACTCACGACTCTTGTGTAAATTACCTCTTTGGCTCATTCCACAAGGATGTCCCACTGCTGACTTCTGTGGTGCAAACAGAATCACCATGGCTGATTTCACACCACCAACACCATGTCCCAGGGACATAAAATTGTGAGGAGGTGGGATTCAAAGGTTGTAGGCTCAGAGCAGGTTAGAGTTTACCATCCTGATCCTGCCATAGCCACCTGGAGGAAGAATCCTCTTACTTTTCAAATGCACCATCAAGACAAGAGCATGAAGTGACGCTGATCTCATTCTGTGTCCAATGCACACGCAGTCCAATTCTGTCCAATGAATGCACACGGCTCCTGTGCTGGGATGAATTTTTGGAACAACAGAATGACCTTGGTGAGCACCTCTAGCACCAGGTGAAACCAACAAAGTGCACTTGGTCGTCTGAATAAGGGCTGAGACATGGCTGGGAGGGGCACGTGGGGAAAGAACCACCAGCCTGCAGACCATGGTGTGCTGGCAAACATTTAATAATCTGCTCTCTGGAAGAGAGAAAAGCCCTTACCTGTAGCATTTGCCAGTTTCTGTGGTGTAAATATCCCCACCATGGCTGGCTATGGAGCTGGGGAGATGTGCCCATCACTCCTTGAGCCAGTGTAGGCTGATGTAGCTTGTCACTGCCTACAAACGTTCTAATGACAGAAACTTTAAATAAGAGACAAGCTGAAAGCTGCTGTAAACTTAACAGCACTCATAGGCCAGAACCAGGGGAGCCAGTCCAGCTTCAAATCATGTTGGTCTGACCCCACCTTCAATCACTCCCTGTGTAATTACATTTTCAGAGCTGCTAGGCCTCAGGACCTGCCACGCAAACTGTGGTGGCAAGAGCAGGGGCGCTGCTCCTGAAGAGGCAGCTGGGCTTGTCTGTGAACCTACAATGGGTTCAAGTTACAGGGTGGCAGATTCCAACTCACTTTACAGAGAAGTTATGACAAGAACTGCCACACATGGAATTTTCTGGAAAGCAAGTGGAGGTGTTTGGGGACTGGGTGAATGGCCACTTTGTGGAAATGTTATGGAGGGCTTCAAGCACTGAAAGGGGCACTGGGTTAAATCTCTTTGGGAGATTCCTAATGTCAATGTTCTGTTATGTGAGTCAGTGTGGAGTTCTGTGTAGAACCTTGCCTTTGGGTCTGAAGCTGTCAGTCATATGTAGCACCTGGAGTAATGATTTCATCCACATCAACTGGCTGAACAAATATTTGAGACCCTACTATGTGTCAGATTCCATTCTACATGCTGAGACTTAGCAGCCAATGGAACAGGGGGAGGTGATGGTGGTGGGAGGATGAGGAGGGGCTGGGAGGGGGTAGATGGAGGGGGCACTTCGCAGGACTTTGGCTTTTACTCCTAAGTGAGATGGGAGCCTTAGGAGGGTTTTTCAGTTTTGAAAGGTTCACTCTTTTATCTGAAGAGTGGACTGCAGATTCAGATTGGGGCACTGTTTGAATGGTGAAGTGTGAGAAGGGAGAGGACAGTGAAGAGGCGGGTCATTGGCTGTAGGTCCTGGTAGGGTGGGAAAACTGCAGGAGGAGGTTCCTAAAGGAGTGAGCTGGTGAGATACCAATGGGGGTTAGAGTGGGAAGCTTGAAACTGCAGGATATGACCAAGGGGTGGGTATCTGAGGTGTGGAAGAAGTCACTGTAACTTCTTTGAAGGTGGGGAGGTAAAGGAACTGAGACGCTAGGTCACTGGAAAGATCATCTTCATGGGTACTGAAATCACCACAAATTATGACAGGAGCAGTGTTGGAGACAGTCAAGGCCTCAGATGGTCAAGGAGAACAGACAGCCCTGAGGAGAGCAGTGCATGTCACAAACTAATAGCACACACCTCAGAGCAACTGTGTGGTGGGCAGGTGTTGTGGGGGGGAGGGGAGAACACAAGATTGGAGGTGGTAACGAGAAACAACAGGGCCACAGTAGACCTCTGGATCCACAGACATAATAAAAAAATAAAATAAAATTTAAAATGGTTTTGTGGCTAAAAGCCTAGGGTCTGATTTCTTATGACTGCTTTTCTTTTCGTGACTATGAACATATTTGCATATCGAGTGATTTTGGGCTGAACACTGGACACTGTAGATAATATGTTGTAGAGACTTTGGAATCTGAAGAGTATTAATTTTTTGTCCTAATGGGCAATTCAGTTACTGGCTGACCACCTTCAATCTATTCTGGCCTCGCTTTACACTTCAATAGGTGGGTCTGCTGTAAGTCCAAGTATTTCTTAAGCCCCTCCAACTTGGTAGGAACCAACCTCAAAACGTTTTCTCCTCTGGGGATCATGTCCAAGCTTGATTTTAGGTTTAATTAGAGTGGCTGTGTCTGAGCTCATATAGGCCATGTCTGAGCTTGCAGACTTTACTCCTTAGGCGTGGCCTCTTTGGTGTCTGGCTGGATGCCAAGCGTGTTGATGAGATCTCTCCACTTGGCTGGGCTGGAGCTCCATAGTCCCCAGCTCTGCTCCTGCCCTTGCAGCAATCTGGTAAGTCTCTGGTGGGTGGGTCTGTTGTCCACACTGTCCTGCCCTCAGCCATGGCCCAACAGGGATCCCTCATATGGACTTCTGGGGCCCCTTCTCTGCATAGCTCCTTTTCTCTCCAACGCCGTTTTGCACAGTATCCAGTTGTCATAAACTTTGATCTCTGCTTCTTTTTAGTTCAGTATGGGCTTGTTTTGAAACTCCCTCCTTAGAGATTGCAGTTATGTGCTGCCTGCTGTCCACCACCTGACGCTTTTGTATTTGTATATGGCAGGAGGGCTAGACTGGTACCAGACCTACTGTCATACACAGACTTTTTTTTTTTTTTTTGAGTCAGATGCATGCTCATGGCCACTGCAGCCTTCATTTGTTGGGCTCAGGCGATCTTTCCACCTCAGCCTTCCAAGTAGCTGGAACCACAGGTTCGTACCACCACACTTGGCTAATTTTTTGACTTATTGTAGAGATGAGGTCTTGTCAAGTTGCCCAGGCTGGTCTTGAATCCCTGAGCTCAGGCAATTCTCTCACCTCTGCTTCCCATAGTGCTGGGATTATAGGTGTGAGCTATCACGCCTAGCCTGTCTTTAACAACTCATGGTTTTTTTTTTTTTTGGTTTGTT